GGGGAGTATTTAACACAGTAGCAGAGAGATGAAGGACAAGGACAACTGGCAATTGGAAATCCTTGGTTATCTCCCAGAATATAGCCTCAGAAACGAATGGTGGTCAGGAACTTATTTAATTTATTCATTAAATAAGATAAACATTCACTGAACGCTTCCTATGAGAAAAGTACTACACTTCATTATACCAACATAAGCAAAATGATCCTTGCTTTCAAGAAACTTACAATCTACATACAGAGGCGGTGGTGAAGGTAGGCAACAAAGAATAAAACAAAGCCAGGTATAGTGGCACACACCTATAATCTCAGCACTCTAGGCAGCTAAAGTGGGAAGGCTGTAAGTTCAAGCTCAACTTGAGCACTCAGCCACCTAGTAACCCTGTCTCAAAATGGTCCTCCTAGGACTAGGGTGGGAGTGTAGCTCAGTGCAAAGACCCTGAGTTGAATCTCCAGTCTTGGGAAAAAAAGGAATACAATATAAATGTCATCAGTCCTCAGTAACCTAACAGATACATAAGGAATGATCAATCACATCCCATTTGATGGGAGAAAGTGACAGGAACTTAGGGAAAATCTCAGGGACTTGAGCTTAAAGACTAGATAGTAGCAACATAATTACCACACATCAGCCAATAATTCTACAGGCAGAGTATGGAAGGGAAGGGGGTTCAAACAGGAGCAACAAGCAAAATCATAGCGGTGGAAAAGCTATAGTATGTTAAGAATAATTATGAACACTTACTAGCAAGTAGCTACTTTATACCAGGAACGAGACACAGGGTCTTGTTTAATCCAGCCAGTAGGTAGATGCTATCATTTACAAGCTTGGGAAAGTTTTCGAGGGCTTAAAGACACGTCCAAGATCATGAAGGTAGCACGTAACTATAATCTGAACTCAGGTCGGACACCAAGGCTTACACATCGTCACACTGCGCTCCCACCTGTCTTACATAGCCCAGTTTCCCTCTAGGGTATCGGGAAAATACAGTATATGATGATACTATACTGAAATGTGGTCTGTGCTCATGTCTGGGAGTAAGCCATCATAGATGGCATGTCAATCTGAGTCCATTTCCAAAAGATAAAAGCAGCTACCTTCATCAAGTGCTTGCCAGGTATAGTGCTCAACGTATATAAACATTCTCATTTCATGCTCACAACTCCATAAAGTATCATTCCAGGTTTATAAAGGCTGAGAAATTTAAAAACTGACCCAAAGTTACAGTTAGTAATTTTTTTTTTTTTTTTTGAGACAGGTTCTCAATGTGTACTTTGAGCTGATCTGAGTTCACTGTGTAGCTCAGGCTGGCCTCGCACTCGTGGTGATCCTCCTGCTTCAGTCTCCCAAGTGCTGGGATTACAGGCGTGTGCTACCATGCCCGGCGACAGTTAGTAAATTTCATCAGAAACTCAACTTAGGACAGGTGTCGTGGTACATGCCTATAATCCCGGCACTTGGGAGACTGAGGCAGGAGGACTGCTGTGAATTTGAGGCCAGCCTGGGCTACATAGTGAGTTCAACGATAGCCTACACAACATAGTGAGAAATAGTGAGACCCTGTCTCAAAAAAAGAAAAGAAAAAAGATACTGAACTCAGGCTGTGAGTTGCAAAGCCTGCTTGCTTACATTTTGTGTATGTGTAGATGAAAAAAATATAAATTTTTTTCACTAATAATAAAAGGACATAAAATTAAAACAATGAAATATTATGTTCATCTATCAAAGCAATAAAGTTTTCAAAAATGAGATTACCAACATC